CCTCCTGCCTGGCCCTGCCCTAGGGCCCCTTCCTGACTCCAGCTTGCTCAACAAGAGAAGGGCATGTGAGGGCACCAGAGTGAGCAATCTCCAGCCATAGGCTAACCCCAGAAGGATGAGGACCCCCTTTGGGATGATGGGTTTTGAAGTGGCATGGGGAGCAACAGTAAGAGCAATGCCAAGGCAGGAAGGTCCACCTGTGCTAAGGCCACCGCAGACATGGCCTCCCAGCCCAGGGGTCTCAGAGTCCTAGACTCGTCCTGAGAACTGCAGTCTAGAGGGAAACGGGAAAGCGCTGTATGCAAAGGTCAAGACAAGGGTGTGGGAGTGTGCTGGTCAAGGAGTACAGTCTGCTGTTGAGTCTGTCGTTGGCTTATACATCCCACCATGAGTGCCCAGCTCTCTGCCTGCAGAGGTTAGAGAGAAGAGGCTGTGGCATCCAGATACTTGGGGAAGAGGGGTGGCGGACAATCCATCAAGGCCTGCCTCCTTCCCTAGGAAGGGGGCAGTCACCATCAGGGGAGGAGAGGAGCTCCAGTCACTAAGTTCCCCAGACGCAGGCCAGGCCCCAGGCAACTCCACCCTGCTGTCTGGGCAGCCTAGCCCTGAGACAGCCTTGTGCTGAGGCCATGGAGCGGGACGTTCCGGTGGCCAAGGGGGGCGTGGGGCACCAGGTCCCCCGCCAGACAGTCCCCCCCCCGCACTGGCTACCACCACCAGGAGTGGAGGGGGCTGGGGAGTGACCTCAGAGGCAGCTTGCACGAACGTGGGAGACTGGCCAGGCCCTCAGTGCTCTGCCCTGGAGCCCTGGCACCTCGGGTCCTCCAGCTGCCAGCAGGTTCTCAGCGCCCCCTCTGCCCACCTGGCACCTCTCCTGTGGTTTGGCAGCAGACTCCTGTTTAATGAGGCTTTTCCCCAGTTCCCAGGGAAGGCTGGTGGACAGGATGAGGCCTCAATGCACCTGCCTGTTGCACATGTACATACCAGGCTTGAGGCTGAGCTAGATTCTGAGGGTTCCTTGTCTCAAAGTGAGCTGTGCTACATACAACATGGAGCTTCACTAGCCTGGCCGAGGAGGGTCAGCTCTAGCCATCTCTATCAGGTTGAGAGAGCTCTCTAGGACTTCTGGCCCATGCTAGCCATCTGCAGGGAAGGTGGTTTGCTGAGAAATCCACTGTGAAGCCACGCTTTCCTTGCCTTGGAGCAGATACCCCTCTCTCACCCTCCCACCGCGGGAAGGGCCGGACTCTGGGATTGTCCTTCTAGAGCTGGCACCTTGGACCCCAGGCTCTGCTCCTAAGATTTCCCAAGCTCAGAGCTGCCCACTCCACCAGCCAGGCTTTTACCTCCGAGGGCTAAAAAGCCAGCGCCAAGGCGGGATGGCAGGGCCTTCTCTGAAGCGGTTTAAACTTGAAAGCCCCATGGCCTGGAGGGACCTTCGGAGAGTGTTCATTCCACCGCCTGCGCTGGGCTCCAGGCATTTGTGCCCTTAAGACGGCAAATAGTGGGATGCCCCCACTAGGGTCCCAGCTTCTTGAGGGAGGCCCTGAGGCTAGTCTTCCTGTGTGCCACGAGGCCTCAGATCTGGCTAATCCCTGACCCAGGAATTTTTCAGGTTAAGGAGGCCCCTGAGGTTTCCAGAAAGCTTTCTACCTTCATAGGCCCTGGGCTCCTGCCCCCCAAATTCTAGGATAAAGAAGGATTTTTGCATCTGTGACCAATTAGGTAGCAGGGTTGATAGGCTCATGCTTATTTTACAAGGGGCAAACTGGCCCAGGATCCTACAGAGGAAAGGTCACTGAAAAGGTCAGCAAGCCTACATCTGTGCTTCCCAACCCACCTCATATCCTAGCACACTTAAAAAATGACCACTGAAGTAACTGGAGGAGGTAGCTGGAGGCTGAAGCAACCAGGGAAAGTCCTGGACATGAGCAGGGAGAGAGAAAGGTAATGGGGTTAGAGAAGTGATTAGGGTCTGATCCTAGGGTTGTATAGGCCTGGGGAAGTTTGGTGCAGGCTCCAGGCTGACGAGTGACATGATCTGATTTATATGGCTGCTGGATGGAAGAGCAGGAGACTGTTGCATTTGCCAGGTGGGAAGTGACTGTGGCTTGGACTGGGTGGGGACAGGGAGAAAGGAAGAAATGGTTGGGTTCTGATATATTTTGAAAGTAAAGCCATTAGGATTTGCTGACACACTAGAGGTGGAGTATGAGAAGATGGAGCATCAGAGATGACTCCAAGCTGTTTGGTCTCAGCAACTGGAAGGAGGGAGTTGATATTAACTGAGGAAGATGGAGAGGAATGTTTGGGGCAAAAAGTCAAAGGTTCTACTTTGGATGTGTTGTATTTGGGGAGCATTTGGAGAGTAGCGTTCAGGGAGAAGTAGAGGCTGCGGAGATACAGATGTAGCGTCATCAGATGAAGATGATGAAAGCCGTGAGCTTGGATGACAGCACCCTTGGGAGGTGAGGATTGATACAAACTGAGGGCCAGGCTTGGGTCAGGTCAGGAAAACGATGAAGAGCCAGAAACAAGGCCAAGAAGGAGTGGCCTCAGAGGTTAGAAGAAAATCAGGAAGTGTGGCATTCTGGAATCAAAGTGAAGAACCTATTGCGAGGAGGGAGAAGTTAGTTGTGTTCAATGTGTCCAGAAGTCAGGTACAATGAAGACTGAGAACTGACTGTTGAGTTCGGCAACGTGCAAGTCACTGGGGCCCTTGACAAGTCATCTGGTGAAGTGATGGGGGCAAGAAGCTGGTTTGGATGAAGGGATAACAAGAGCTGAGGACTGGAGGTAGAGGACAAGGACTGCTCTGCTGAGATGTGCAATAAAGGGAAGCAAGAAATGAGGTGACAGCTTGGAGAAATGGCAATCTGCTGGTCCCCTGAGTGGGAATAAAGAGTGGTCTAGCACAGGGCCTGGCATGTGGCAAAAACTCAGTACATGAAGAAATCACATTCCCCACATATCCCGTATGTATCCCAGTCTTACTCTCTCTCCTGCCAGATACCTGCAGGCCTAAGAATCCTACATTCCACCTTGCGTTCCCCAACACAATCCCAACCTGTTACTGTTGTCTGGGTCTGTGCTGGGAATAAAAGAGGACCTGAGAGTGACAGGACCTTCCTCTCCCCAGCTTGCTCAGAAAGCCTGGCCTTCAAATAGCAACAGGAAGGTCACAGCAACCAAGACCTGGAAATGACATGGCCCTGTCATCATTCTCCCCAAGTGATGCTGCCAGGCATGTCTGCCATCTCCAGGCAGACCTCCTTTGGCATAAGACCAAAGGGTCTGGCCCATATGGGACCTGGCACCACAGGGAGAGGGAGGCACTGTGAGTAGCATTTCATCCTCTCTTCAGAGTGGCTTCTTACATGTTGTCACGACAGCCATTTGCGACAAGTAACGGGTGCCCGGGTATGGTAGTAAAGTTAGCTCCAGGAATTGAACCTGGTTGGCAGACTCTTTCTCAGGCTTCCAGTGGAGAGCCCTCAGGAAGCTCTCTTGCACGCCCCAAGAGGTCAGGAACAGGCTCTGGTCGGAGGTGAGGCATTGGCCTCAGGAAGTAGGTGTAGTGTCAAATCCATGCCAGTCACAAAGGAGCCAGCACTACTAGAACATTAACTCCACTGATTAGCCCTGGGATCTAAGACTCCTCCTGGTGGAAGGCAGAGGGATGAGCGGGAGGCTGACAGGTGGTGATGTTGGCAACTTACCAAAGTCTAAGGGGAAGGGTGCAGCTTGTAGCCCAGCCTGAAGCTCCCCTGGAGGCAGGAATGTGGGGGAGGTGGTGGCCAGGACTGCTACAGACACCTATGGGATCGTGTGCCCACCTGGGAGCCTCTGCCATGGCTACAGTGTGATTCATACCTGCCCGTCCCTTTAGCCTCACCTGGACTGCCAAGCGCCAGTGCCAAAGGACCTGAGCCAGGTCTTCCCACCAAGAGCTACCCTAACCTTCCCCAAAGCTGGTGATGAGCCCCATCCATTGTACTGGCTACATTCACCCAGTGAGAAATTTCACCTAGGGGCTGGAAAGCAGCCCAGACCACAGCCTCTATGATCATTAGTGTCTTGCCCCAGATATGTCCCAGAGATATTTCTTTTGTGCCATGGGTTAGTGGCCGCTCATCTGTGGGCCCAGCCAGCAGCATCCCCACAGGTGGGCTTTTACAAGTGGTGCTAACCTTGAGCTTTAGATGATGTCTCCAGGGCCCTGGCCAGCAAAGGTGTGCAACTGAGGATATGCAGAGCTGGGCCATGGCCCTGAGCAGCACACTCCCTGTGGCGAGGTCTGATGGGGAGCCCCCGTCCCAGCCTGAATATGAGTCATCTCATGACAAATCCATGTGACCAGTGTGAAAAGTAAGAGTCTTGCGGTGCCGAGGAAACAGGAAGTGTGGAGGCTGGGTGGGTTGGCTCTGGAGGGAGCCTAGCCACACCTGGAGCCACCTTGCTCCACCTCCCTTGAGGAAAGAAAGGGCCCCCTCCACTATGTCATCAGATCCTCTCAAGCCTTAGGTGGCTCCCGAGGGTCAGACACAAGCCCCTCAGTCTGGGGACCAGAAGAGGAGGAAAGCAAGCTCCAGGCTGTCCTAAGGCTGAAGGCTTGTGAGCAACTCACCAGACAAGCCTTTGGGCCTCACAGAAACTGGGGGATCTCTGAAACCAAGAGACAGGAAGAATTTCCTGTGCAGGGGGAAATGCCTCCTAGAGCTGAGGGCAAAGAAAGACTGAGAGACTCTCTGGGAGATTGGACTCCATGGGCAAAGTCTGGGGCGAGGGTGGTGGAGGGGGCGGCAGAGCCACTGGACACAGGGTGGCCCGAGGGGGGTCCCATCCAGGGAAGCCTGTGGTTTTGACCACCTCCACTTTCCTCTGATGGCCGGGCCACCCCCACACAGCAAATTGGGACTTTTCTTATATGTGCACCCCAGTCCTGTGCCTTCCTCCCTCAGGTCCCCCACATTCACCCACCCACCCTCCTCGTTTTTCAGCACAACAAGGCCAGTCAGCCTTCCCATGGCGTCCCCCAACTTTCTCCTCTCTATGACCATTTCAGCAGCCCACACCCCACACCTGCACCAGCCGACATCAGCCAGAAGCAAGGTATGGATCCTGGATGGGAAGGGCCCAACAAGACCCAGAGCTGGGGACTGGCGGGGAAAGGGGATCAAGTCCCTGTCTTCTGAAAGCAAGAGGCTAGACCCTTTTTGAAGGCACCAAAGGGTTGGGCAAGGTGGTACCAGGTCAAAATTTGAAGGTTTGAGGTTTAGGTAGGAGACTGAATCCTGAGTGGCTAGCCAGTGCCAGCATGGGAGTAGGCCTCTGTGTGAAGATGATAAATAGAGAACTTGTAGTCTTTCCCTCCCCACAGTGAGAAAATGGAAAGTGGTGGTTGTGATGGCTGATTCACCTCAGCCTCGGGCAAAGTCATTCTGAAATCAGCCATTGTCGGCTGTGGGAAACCTGCTGACTCAACCCTGGGGAGGAGGGGGCAAGAGGAATGGGTGGGGCCCTGGGGCCCTGGGCCAGGGGGTCTGCCTCCTGCCCAGAAAGCCAGGCTAGAGCCCCCAGCAGAAAGGCCCCAGTTGTAGACCAGAAATGAGCCAGGTATAGTCTTCCACCCCTTCATGACTCTACCTCTGCCACTACCAAGCCACTGTCCACAAGCAAGTCACACCAATGATCAGCCCTTGATGCCTAGAGCCTGCAAATGGGGCACTCTAATCACACCAGGCTAGTCCTGAACAGACCAGTATGTCTGGTCCTCTAGCACAGGGAGACGGGGTCTTGGAGGGCCCCACAGGAGGCTCTAGGATGCAGGAACTAGCTGGAGCGGCTTCTAGGTCAGGCTAGCTCACTTACTCTGCCCCTCTCCCCTGCAGGAGTTCACAGGCCTCTGCAGACCCCCGACCTCTCTGGCTTCTACTCTCTGACCTCAGGCAGCATGGGACAGCTCCCACACACTGTGAGCTGGTAAGTGAGGGCTCGGTGGGAAAGGGGTCCCTTGTGCTCGCTGGACCCACACCCACCTCTCCACTTCCTCCTCCACTCTTCTGTGACGAGCCCCTGCTGCTAGCTCTATACAGGTAACGGGCTGGCCAGCGGCTCTAGCCGTGCCTCAGCCAGCCACACAAACTCCCTTTGGAAAGGCCCTGTCATGCTCTGCCTTAATGTCTAAGAGACTTGAATGGAGGAACCCTGGGCTGTTTAGGGTCCTGTGAGTATGTGAGATAGAAAGGTAGGCCTGAGCAGGGAGGTCGCTGCTTGCAGGGCCACAGGAGAGGCCGTTGTTTCTCAGTGGCTTGGCGGAGCTGCTTGAAGGTCAGGGTCCTTCTTGCACCTATGGTACCTGCTTCAGTCCAAACTCCTGGCAGCCTGCTTGGAGAGTCCACTAATGCTGGGCCAGGAAAAGCCAGCCTGGATCCTATGCAGCAAATCCAACCATGAGCCAAAGGGCCTGTCTTCAGCTGGAGCAGGGTCTTGGCAGGGTATGTGACCTTTTGCTCATCAACCGCAGTTTGACCGAGGCAGGTCTCTGGCTTCTCAAGGTTGGGACAGTCACCCAAAAGTAGGAAAGCTTGGCTTCCCTGGGCCCGCCTGCCTCTTTCTACTTGTCCTTTATCCACGTTCAGCTCACTCTTCCATGTCCAGATTCTCTGGATAAAGCTCCACCTTGAATACAAATCAGGACTACCCCCAGCACTGACGTATGGCAGGCAAGTTCTGGGCACCAGAGGAGCACTGCCTAAGTGGGTTGATCCTCAGGTCCCTGCCCTCGCAGAACTCAGTCCACCTAGTATACAACTCAGACAAGAGGCCAGTTATAGAGCATGGGTAGCAGTGCTTTGATTGAGGGCTGTAGAAGCCTGGGGGTCACCTCATCCAGCTTGGGATTTCCAGGGCTGTTTCAGAAGAAAGGCTGTTTTGGCCAAGTAAGACCTTGACACATGACCAGGAGTTTGAAGCAAAGTGGGGCAGAACAATCCTCAGTGTTAACAGTGGGCATAAAGGCCCTATGGCAGGTATGCAAATATCAAGCCCAAATTTCACAAGATGAGACTGGAGGGGACCCAGGGACCTACTAAGCTCAGTGCCAGGAGAGTGCTGCCATTTCTGGCCCTTACACATCAGTAGAAAGGTAAGCCTGCAAAGAGAAAGGCTGCCCTCTGGTGGCAGATGTTTAAAACATACACTAGAACGGTCTAGGCAGAAGCCAGTTTGCCTTATTACTCTAGGGGTCAGGCCTGAGCACAGTGGGGAACTCCTTCCCCACATCTGGCCAGTAGTCAGACTAAGAGTTGGCCAGTAGCCAGACTGCTAACAGCTATCTCTCCCAACCACAGGCCCAGCCCTCCTCTCTACCCCCTGTCCCCTTCCTGCGGATATAGACAGCACTTCCCTGCCCCCACCGCAGCCCCTGGCGCCCCCTACCCCAGGTGAGTCCCCCACCCTGCAGCTAGGCTCCTGCTTCCTGTTGCCCAGGCTTCAGTGCCCACAAGAGGCTATGCCCAGGCCAGTGCTTGCCCTCTGTGAGTCATCTGTCCATCTGTCCGTCTGTCATTCTCCAACCCTGTGCTGCCCTGTGCTGAGAATGAAGCCAGTGGGAGTGTGGGAGGCTTAAGCCCGAGCCATCCTGTGCAAAGCACCAGAGAGCAACCAGAGATGGTGCAGGCACACGCGTGCAGACGTGTGTGCACTCACCTCTGTTGTGCATCCCGAAGAAAGGGCAAGTCAGGACACCTCTCGGACATTCCTGGAGCTCTGTCCAAACTGAGGCAACACCTTTTACGTGCGTCTTAGGGGCCACCTGCTCAGTGACTCCATACTATACAAGTGGGAACTGTGTCCACGTGTGTCCTTTCACTTGGCTCACTTCCTCAGGGACAGACCTGTTCAGGTGTGGAACAGGTTTGTCAGCAGACACTTCTAGACCTCCTAGAGCTGCCAGCCCAGGGTGGGAGGGAGAGATACAGCAGCTATCTGGGTGAAGGGGAAGCCCCAAGGAGACCCAGCCATGTCTGATGGGTCAGGACAAGCTTCATGAGGATAGCTCTTGAGCGAGGGGGACAAAGATAACAGCAACAAGCTGGAGGGGCAGGAAGTGATGGGAAATGGGGTGGGGAACGGGTGTGCAATCCCAAGGAAGCCTGGGTTTTATTCTATGGGCAGTGGGGGAAATTAGCACTCAAGTGCTGTTATATGGAGACAGACCCAGGGGTCAATGAGGAAAGTAAGGAAGCCCACAGGGCAGCTACAGGCTGAGGCTGAGCTGGTGAGAGCAGGAGATGAGAAGGGGACAGATTCAAAAGCTATTCAGGATTTCAGGAACCACCTGAATTTCATGCACATGGAGGTTTTTGCAATGTGTCTGTGCAGTGTGTTGGAGTAGGTGTTTGTATCTCTGTGTACTTGTATGCAGGCCAGTGGAGTTGGGTAACCTGTCCTCGTGTACTGCGCAGGGGCCTCTGTGTGTCAAGAGATCTGGGCCGCACATGCCTGGCTCAGTGTTAACCCTTCTTCTGCTGCAGGTTCACCCATCCACCCCTGATGCTAGGTTCTGGTGTCCCTGGGCACCCCGCAGCCATCCCCCATCCAGCCATCGTGCCCTCTTCAGGGAAGCAGGAGCTGCAGCCCTATGACCGCAGCCTGTGAGTGGAACAAACACGCTGGGGGGGGGGGGGGGCAGGGAAAATAAGCAGAGCCCAGGACACACATTCCTCCCACCAGGGTCAAGTCCTCCCTCCAGGGACTGCCAGGAGATCCCCAGGCAAGGCAGTCTACCACTGACCACTGTTTTTTTTGACCCTCAGAAGCAGGAGTGGGGTGGACGGAATGGGGAATGAGGATTTAGTTTGAGCCCAGAGAGGGGCTTTCCTTACTCAGCTACAGAATTCCTATAAGGAACAATAGTGAGCTCTGCTCACCTACTTTGGGGCAGCTAAAATAAGATACCATTTACAAAACCCTAGTATATCTACCCAATCTCTCTCTCTCACACACACACACACACACACACACACACGACACAGGTGAAGGGTGCCTTAGGTGCACACCGTGAAGGCTCCTGAGTGTTCATGTGTCCCTCAGGAAAGCACAAGCAGACTCCAAGGCAGAGAAGGAAGCCAAGAAGCCAACCATCAAGAAGCCACTCAACGCCTTCATGCTATACATGAAGGAGATGAGAGCCAAGGTCATTGCAGAATGCACGCTCAAGGAGAGTGCTGCCATCAACCAGATCCTGGGCCGTCGGGTGAGGCCACAGGGGCAAGTGGGCTGGTAGGGGTGACTGCCCTGACTACCTTCACCCTGAGCAGCCTGCCAATTCTCTGATGCATCCACCATCTGCCCCCCTTCCCCACTGTAGTGGCACGCACTGTCCCGGGAAGAGCAAGCCAAGTATTATGAGCTGGCCCGCAAGGAGAGGCAGCTGCACATGCAGCTATACCCAGGCTGGTCGGCGCGGGACAACTATGTGAGTGGCCGAACACACGCAGTAGGGGAAACTTCAACATGCCATACCCCGGGCCAATCTCACCAGAGGAAGTCAGGACTACTGTCCTGAAGGCACACAAGGAGTAGACAGGGTGAACAGAGGTTCAAGACCTTTGATGGCTACTTCAGGAGAGGACCAGATATGGGGAGCTGGCCCTGAAGGCAGGCTCGTATCCTGTCCCCTCCCCACGATGTGCTCCCACACAGGGCCACTGTGCAGTATTTGATTAGGTCAGCACAAAGAGGAAAATGAGCCTGAAGTCACCTCCTCCTCCAAAATGGAGGCCAGTGTGGGGAAGGGAGGAGGAGCCCCTAATTGTCCTGTGGTCACCTAGCAAAAACTGAAGTCAAGAAAACACCAGGGCCCCCAGGTCAGGTCAGAGGGGACTGTGGGCCGGGAACCCCAGGGGCAGCCCGACTAGGCAGCAGGCTGCAGGTGTCCCAACCACTTGCATGCTAGGCTTACAAGTTAGTGTCTTACATCCCAGAGTCCTGAGCATCTTCCACTTTGTTCCCTGCAGGGGAAGAAGAAGAGACGGTCGAGAGAAAAGCACCAAGAGTCCAACTCAGGTGAGGCGTTCTCTGAGTTAGACCTGCATCTCCCAAATCAAAGCCCCACCAGAGAAAGAGCTGCACTAAGTCCCAGGGAGTTCAGATGGTTGAGTCTGCCTTCCATGCAGGAGACCTAGGTTTGATCCCTGGGTTGGGACGATGCCCTGGAGAAGGGAACAGCAACCCACTCCAGTATTCTTACCTGGAGAACCCCGTGGACAGAGGAGACTGGCAGGCTACAGTCCATGAGTGGACACGACTGAGTGACTAATACTCTTTACTGATTTAAGTCCCAGGGAAGACCAGCAGAAATTTATTTTTGGCTGGGCTAGGCTGGGTCTTCATTTCCGTGTAAGGGCTTACTCTGGTTGTGGGGCACAGGCTCTAGGGTATGCAGGGTTCAGTAGTTGCAGCTCCCCGGCTCAGGAGCACAGGCTCAGTTGCCCTGCAGCACGTGGGATCATCCCAGAACAGGGATCGAACCTGTGTCTCCTGCATTGGCAGGTGAATTCTTTATCACTGAGCCACCAGGGAAGCCTGAAGCGAATTCTTGTAGCAATGGTTTGTGACCCGCCACACACACACTCCTTTATAAGCCCTCCTAACAGCCACCCTCTGCCAGAGGACCTAGTGAGGAACTGAGTGTTTGAATCAAGACTAAATGCAAACACTACATCCAGATTAGTCCTGCGGAGGTGAGCATCACACTGCCTGGGGGGAGTGCGGCCATGCCCCAGCCTGAGCCCTAGAGTCGCACAGCCTGTTGGCTGGTGCCTGGCAGTTTCTCTGTCGCCCCACCCCCCCTTCTCGTGGAGGTGCCCAGTGCTTGGTACAGAGGCCCGGGAAGGCCACACCCTGCTCCCGGTCATCGACCTGGGGGGGAATTCCCGTCCCAACTCTGGTAACTCACACTCCACACCCATGAATGACTTCTCAGTTGTGCTGCCCCCACACAGGGGGCTAGTCCTGGGGCTCAGCAGAGTCTGCAGTCTTTTCTCTAAGATAGGATAATGTTCAATTGTGTGTAGCATAGGCTTTAAGCTACAACACAAGGGGAAATGAGTCAGGCAAGACTGGGCACTGGCAAAGATGAAGAAAAACTGATGGCTGAAATAGATGGATAAAATGGGCAGGGCCTTGCGGGAGGGGATGGGAAGCCCTAAGACAGAAGCAGCTTGATCCCCATGGGCCCCTCAGGCCCTTCTCTCAGCCCCTTTGCTGCAAGGGGCCCCACAAGGCAGAGAGGAGCCAGCCTGATAGGGTCTCCTCCCCCTCCCACCCCCACCATTCTTCCCCTGCCTCTATACTGCCAGCTGGGTGCCAGCCTTTCCTGATACCTTGGCTTTGGGCCCTTGGCCTCCCACTAAGACTGGACAGGCCATGGAGAGGCCCGTGCCTGTGGGACTGTGGGGTACCTATGACTGGCTAACACTGATATTGCCTCTTCTTTCTGGGCCCTGCTCTGCCCTGCTGCCTGCCTGCTCGCCCTCTGCCCTGCTCTGCCCCTCTGGCACGGCTGTGAGCAGACCCTGGCTCGCCTAAGAAATGCCGTGCTCGCTTTGGCCTCAACCAGCAGACGGATTGGTGTGGTCCGTGCAGGTGGGTTTGTCCCCACCACCACCCTCCCTTTGCTTCAAGCTGCTTCCCTGACTCTGCACATATTCTGCTGGGCCTGCTGTCCTCCTTTGGCCTCTAGTCTCCCAACATACCTGCAGATTAGGAAGCCCATGCCTCCTAAGAATGAGAATGAACACAGCTTCTGAGGAAGATCACTTGGGTCTAAGTGGAAGGAATAGGAGAGAATGTCCTAGATGGAAGGAAAGGCAGTCTTAAAAGGCATCTCTGGTGTCTGGCGCCCAGGCTTCCCTGATAATGGCTGTCTGGTGCTAATCAGGCCAAGCAGGCCCACATCAGAAGAATCTCACACACAGCATTTAAGTGGCTCAAGCCCCTGTCCCCAGGCCTGAGTCATTGTGGTCCACCAGCTCCCTCACTTCAAATTGGGATCCCTGTTGTACCGTACTGAGCCTCAAATCTAAGAACAACAAAGTGGCTGTAGTCAAGAATAACCTGAACAAGGTAAATGCCCAACAGTCATGTGACCTACTGACACCAGACGTAGGGAGACGTGAACACAGGTACCCCTGGCACCCATACTCAAATCCTATGGCATTAAAGCTGTGTTTCACCATACAATATTTGTATATGGGAAAAGAAAATATACCTACCAAATGGCTCCGGCCTGGCCTGTATTAGGCTCAGACCAGGGCTGCCAGGGCCAAGGCTGACGCTGCTCCAGGCAGTAAGTTCACTGACTCTAGGGAATACTTGTTCAGCCCTGAAGGGTACTCCCACATTCCCTGTCCCAAGAACAAAGAGGAATTTGGGGGAATAAGTGTGTGCACATATGTACACATGATGAGAGGCAGCCCTGTCCTCCAACTGAAAATAAGATAGTAGGAACAGGTGAGACAATTCCCTTTCTTCCCCTTCTCTGCCCGTAGCCTAGCTCTGAGTATTTGGAATGCTCGGGGCTAGAAGCCACAAGCACACGTTAAACAGATCTGAGCTTCACAGATCTGCTTCTGTTGAAGCAGAGCTGCAACAGCCTAGACTAGGAGACAGCTGTCCTGGAAGACAGCAGGCAGCCCACGCAAGGAGCTACAAAAGGTCCCTCTGCCATCTAGTGGCTCTGTTGGGAATTGCACCTGTCTGCAGTCGGCCAGGCCCAGCGATTGCCATGCTAAGCCCTAAGGCATAGGCATATATATGTAAGTCATGGGGAGATAGGCCTGTGCAAGGACAGCAGTTTTTGGTTGTGGTGTATGACTATGAATTCACCCTCTGTTTACAGATAACTCTCTTCACTATTCCTAGGAGGAAAAAGAAATGCATTCGGTACTTACCCGGAGAAGGCCGCTGCCCCAGCCCCGTTCCTTCCGATGACAGTGCTCTAGGCTGCCCCAGGTCCCCAAATCCCCAGGATTCGCCCTCGTACCTCCTGCTGCCCCACCTCCCCACAGAACTGCTTGCTAGCCCTGCAGAACCGGCGCCTACATCACCAGGCCGCTCAGCCACTCTCAGCCTCTCAGCCCCCTCAGAGCGACCAGCAGAGTACACAGGTACAGCAACAGCAATCTCAGAGACAGGCAGCCTAGCATGCACAGGACACATGGCTTCCTCCAAGGGCTCACCCTCTGAGAGGAGACGACAGAGTCCCAAAGCGGGTGGAAACCGGCCAGGGGGCCTGTTGGCTCCCTCTCACAGCTCAGGCCCTGGAGATTCCAGAGTCTGCACAACTTCTGCCTGAACCTGGGGCCATCAACTCAAACTGCTCCACGTGATGGGAATCAGATCTGTGCTGTGTCATTTCAGGGGCATCCCCCATGCCTATGGCAGGCTCCCTCCCTCCGTCTTGAGAGCCAGATGCCCCTGCCCCCCTTGCCTTTCCTCTATAGGGCATAGGTGGACTGGACTGAGCCCAGCTGCTCTCCCCTCCACCACTGCCCCACGTTCCCTGTACCAGACACTTCACGGACCAAGAACCAGCTGGTTTACCAAGCAACATGTAAGCATGGTCACAACCACAAAGCTCAAGATGACAGTGCTTCTCTCTTAAGGGCCTGGAGAAGCCCTGTTTACAGAAAACCATCTGTAATCTGTAAGCTGAACCAAGGGAAGCTTCTTCCCACATTCTTTTTAGCAGTTTTCAATAAGTGAATGGAATAGGTTAGATTTAGGCCTATCAGCCCGGCAACAGGAATAACCTGACACTACCTTACAGGCAAGTGTGGATGGTGAGCGTTTGTGGATATAGTTCAAATTACTTGGAAATGTTTCCTGAGAAATTCAACCACCTAAGAAGCCCTCATACCTAATGCCCTAGTCACTGGTTCAAGTCAGTTGTGGCTCAAAACCAGTGTGCATCCTTCCCCACTTCTGAGCACCTTGCCCAGATACAATTCCAGCTTATCCACATCAGTCTAGCCAGCTCTTTAGACAGTTGTAAGAAAGAGCAAACCAAACCTCAGGACAGCCAGTACCTATTTTCCAGCATGTAAGCAGGCCAGCTTCAGTTTCCCTATGGGGCTGCAGGAAGGAAGACCATACAACTAAATCAGGAGCCCAGAAAACCTCTAGTGGTGAACATCGGGTTTTCACCACAGCCTACTTTAACCCATTTCTGAGCCAAGCTTCAACCCTGAGCCTTAAAAAACAAACATTTTTTAATTTAATTTAGGTTTTTTTTTTTTTGTTCTTTTTGCCTCCTCTTCACTGTACGTAGCCTGAATCCAAAGAGAAAGGGCTATCCTTGTACCCACACACACCCCTCAACAAAAGCCTAGTTCCTACTTTAGCCACTGGCTTCTCAGAATCCAAAGATCATATGTTCTAGTGTAGTGCTGCAAGAAGTCTTGAGAGAAAAAAGGACCATTGTAATATTCAAGATATTTTTGTATTGTTAATGCATATCACAGAAAAACTTTGATATGAGAATAAAGATACTTTTTACTGGGTTTCTTTTTCAAATCCTGCCTCTGAACAATAAGCTGTTTCACTGACAGTATGTCACTTGTTTCTTTTCCACAGTCACAGAACTGCGGGTTTCTTCTCTATTATGGTACACATGTTCAAGACCTTGAACCAGGGATTTACTCTGGTCACCTCTCCTTAAGGAACCTGGGACCTGCTCCAACCTAGAGAGCTCATGCTAGGTGTACAGCCCCCATTCCAAGCTGCAATCTTAACCCCACTAGTCCTCTGACCTCACATTGATGCAGGCACAGGCCAACCTGCCCCCACTGCTTATATGGGGATGGATTGGAAACTGCCCCCCACAGCCCCTAAGTCAACCCAACCAGAAACAGGCACACATCACTGGGCTCAATTTCCCTCTGAAGGCAAAGAGAAGACAAGTGCATATCCTATTCCAAGGAAAACATGAACACAAAGCAATCTTTTATAACTTGGTATCATCATAAAATCCAAAAGATGGGTATTTTAAGCACCCTTTCTTCCCAAAGACTGGCAAGATGTGTGATATATTTCCTGAAGTATTCATTTTATACAAAACCTCTGAAGTTTAGAGAGCCAGCTCAAAAGGTCGGTCAACCATTAGATACAAATGTTGACCAAGAAGTGTATCACAACAGCCAGCTGCTGGGCCACCATCATGTTTTACAATTTTCACTTAATGCAGTTAATTTTTTGGACTTTAAAAATATAAAGTCATCTTCCAGGGTAGTATCTATTGAAGTAGGCCACTGGAAGTTGTAATCCTAGACTTGCTTTTTTCTGGGTGCTAGAGGAGACCGGCCATTCTCTTGACATCTGTCCCATTTAAAGAAATCCACTCTGGCTACTGGCCTAGTTGTTTCAAAAAACTGCATTTTAACCAAGGCTTATGCAAGACCGGGTTTGCTGCATCTGATCTGGTGTCTTATTTAAGAGCACACGGGATACATAACAATGCACTCTTTGTGTATGTGAGGGTAAAGAGGAGAGCTCTGGCAAGATTCTTAAAATCGAACCAGCCTTAAAAATAAAAATTAAAGAAAAACTGACTTCAAAGAGGACACTCAAATCTTCAGAGATCATACCACATATTCCTGTGAGGCCACAGGGTGACTTGAGAGTGTAGCCTCAAATTCACTTTCAAATACCACAGCAGTCCCACCTCACTTCCAGTCAAAAACTAGTCATTTTCTGAGACGTTTCTGAGATACCCGAACTTCCCTTACAGATTCCTAGACAACTGGAAGATTTGCTTGAAATACAGATTTTGTTCCATCCCCTGCTAAAGCTGCTCCCCCTGCCCTCCCAGGCTCAGAACACATGGTGAGGGCTCTGCCTAACAAGCTAGCAGGATCTTCCCAGGTCTCCAAAATTGACGATATCCCCCCCTTTATAGGAAGTCCTGTGGCTTAACTTCAGAATTTTAACTACATTTTGAATAGCCCAGAAGCTATGCTGCCCAACCTTATTCAGTGTTCAGTAAGCCTGGCTAAAGAAGGCCAGAATGGTTCTCTACACTGTTCTAAAGAAAAAAGGCTATTAGTTCCTGCATGCAATTCTAGGGGGAAAAAACTGCACACAGAGTGGTCAAGGGTAACACAGACTTGCCAGGCCTGTGAAAGATGTGAAACCAAAAACAAATTCCTTATATTAAAAAAGCTCAACTGCCTTTTCTGTCAAGTTAGAAAAGCTGTTTTACTGTAACTGTTAAGTCTCTAGAGAGCTTTAAAAACTCACCATAGGGGCTTCCCAGGTGGCGCTAGTGGTAAAGAACCCACCTGCCTAAGCAGGAGACCTGGGTTTGATGCCTATCTTGGGAAGATCCCCTGAGGGCACGGCAAATGCCTAGAGAAGTCTTAGGACAGAGGAGCCTGGCGGGCTACAGTCTATGGGGTCACAAAGACTCATACACAACTGACAACACTCACACACACACGGGTTCTTGAAACAGAGCCAGTCACCAAAGCAGAACCAGTTCCTAGGTTGTGTCACCCCCCAATCCCAACTATTCTAATCACCTATTTCAGACCTCAAATTACCATGGCCCTCAGGCTCTCTATATTGATCTGCTTGTCCACAATGGGCAGTGGGGTCTCAGAGGAGCCATGACGGAATATACTCAGCGAGTACACCTGGGAGACGTACAACAGAGATGGAAACAGTCCCACTAATGACAGCCCAGCCTAGGTCCAAAGAGATGCTGAAGAACAGTAGGGGATGGGAGAGAACAGTGTTAACTGGAAAGGGCAAATTCTGTCCAAGGGTAAGAATGCGTCTATCCCTAGTGGCCCCCATGAGTTAGAGGGAAAAAAGGAGGGGAGCACTAAAGGACAAAAAATTAAAAATTTGTGAGCTATCTCAAACTACCAAGAAAACTTCATAGTCCCTGAGTCACATGCCCAGTGACTCACTGCCACCATCCTTCTCCAGCTAGTTCCAGACTAAGAATTAGCATGACATCATGCTGTCCAACATATAGATTTTGCTTAATTAATTCCAGCAGCAGGTTATGTATGAATAACTGTAGAATAAACAAATCACAGTACAATGCCACTCTAGGATCTCTAACTTTTATAAGGGATACCTCTGTGAATCTTTGGAAAAATATCAAAAGTATTATCTTGTATATTAAAGGTGGATTTATGAAGGCAAGCGAATAATAGCACTTCAAAAGAGGTTAAGAATTGAGTGAGGGCATATATCCTTAACCATCAACTCACCAACAGCATTACACTGCAGGGAGCTACTGTTTTCAACTTATTCAAGACCAGGTAGGTCCTAAGAGGCAGAGGCAGGACTACAGCCTCACAGCTTGACTTCATACTACAGTATTAGCTCAGAATAACTCAGAAATGAGAAGGCAGATAGGTTGACAGCTTTGCTATGGGAAAGAGCCCCTCACTTTCTTTGGATAAAAGTGAGAGGCTGGAAAAAAAAAAGAGGCTGGAAAACTGGTAGACACATTCAAGAAATAATGAGTATATGCAAAAAGAGGGAAAAGGTTAGGAAAGTGCTGCAGCCAGTCTGAAGGGCCTCTTATGAGTGTCCATAAATTGCCTGTTTTCTTAGACGAGCTGTCAGATCTCTATTAAACATGATTTAAAGACTATGGCCAAGGTCTACAGAAAGTCAGGAAGGGAACAATTATATTGTCTGTCCACTCAATCTTACATATTAAGAAAGACCTTTCCCTTCTGGGAAACAGAAATGAGACACTCTAGCTAGGACTGAATGCTGCTACCTTCCCCACTAAAACCAGCACAAATGGAAAAATAGCTTACTTCCAGAGTAAAGGGAATCAGGGCTCCAGAACTAGTCAAAGGGTTGGCAATTATTTTTCTGTGAAGGGCCACAGAGTAAATATTTTAGGCTTTTAGATCAGGTATAGTCTTTGGTGTGTCAATTATTCCTCTGGAGAAGGAAATGGCACCCCACTGCAGTATTTTTGCCTGGAGTATCCCATGGACAGAGGAGCCTGGCAGGCTACAGTCTACAGAGTCACAAAGACTCTATAGAGTCAGATATGACTGAGCACACACCACTATTACAGAGGTAGATATGAGACAAATAAGAGATGAAAATTAAAAATTTGTGAGCTATCTCAAACTACCAAGAAAAACTTAATTCAACTCTAGATGAAAGGCTGAAAACCAGAGCAGAGCAGTTTGGAGGACGCCAGTAAAACA